TTTCCACTACCCTAGTGAAAGTTTTCATTCATTTGTCGAATGACTAATAATGTTTATTTTTTAAAATTTATGGTTGAAATTTAGTGATTTTAAATTAAATATAAAAATAATTAACAAATAATTTAAATAAATATTAAAGCATTGCTATTGATTTCTTCGTGTGTGCTAACAAAAAAGAGATATAAATTTAAAATTTAATTTAATTAATTCATATAATTTATAATTATTTTTAAAAAATAATATCAACATATTTACAATTTAAATTTTAATATAAATAATCTCTTAATCATTAAGTAATGATTTACTTTATAAAAAAAAATCTCAATTGCAACATTACTGTTAAAATATCATTAAACCTTTTTATAATGCATTTAACTGATTTACATAACACAGAAAACATAAGAACATCATGGAAAAAAAAAACTTGAAAAGATTGGAAATGCAATTCTCATTCAATTATACCAATCTTATTCCTTGATTAATTATGTCATCGCCCCAAGATAATTAGAGAAAGATTATGCACGCTAAACAGAAATTAACCGACTAAAACACGTGTTACTCCTAATGACAACAACCCTAAATTAAAGTCCATTTCAAAAAAAAAAAAATTTCTATGGTGTTCATTTGAAACACGTAGCAACCATGAAAACGTTATGGCAAATTGTTTTCTTTCTTCCTTTCCAAAGATTGTGAAAGTTTTGGATATCAGTTTCAATTTTCATGTGATCTTTGGGGGGTTATCAAAAGAAAAACATGGTTGCTAGCTCCAAAATCATAAATTGACTTTGGGTTGTTTCAAAAACATGTTTTTAGCTTTTGATTATGGCTTTAATCACATTTTTTTTCTTGGGAAGTGGGGATACAAAGGGAAGGAAGCTACCGATGGATGCAGAAATAGGGCAAAACACACAGCTCTCGATTTGGACAGAATTGACCCGAGTAGGAATTTGGCAAGGATTTTAATCAAGATTGACTTGGATTTGCATTTTTCAATAACCAATGGTGGAAATTGAGTTTTGGGTTGCAATCAATCATGGGAAATGAGGTGTTAATGGGCTGTAAAAGTACCATGAACAGCTAATTATTCATGACAAACTCAAATAGTATAATCTATTATTCATTAATATTTTTAAACAATAATGACGAATTCCATGTTAAGAATTAACCATGAAATTTTCATGTTTTGTTTTTCTTGAAATTATATGGATAAATAAAAATTATAATTACGATCAAATATTACATCTCATCTTATAAACAATTAATAAAAATAACCAAAGATAAAAAAAAAAAAATAATTAAAATAATCAAATAAATAAATCAATTAATATTACCATATTTTTATACTTATACATTTTCATTCAGGACTTATAATTTTTTTTTTTAAATACTCTCTTGTCCTATAAGGTGTAAAGAAAAATTCTTATGTTAAATTTTTCTATAAAATATATCTCAAACAAATATGATTAGTAATAAACAAATATTGAGTTGAGAAATTGGGATGAATTTTTTATTTATTCAAGTTTCATATATAAGCTAGGATTACCCATTACTATATAGCTAATTTAATAACATTATTATTGAATCATACATAGAAGGCAACCATTCTTTCAATAGAATACTTATTTCCTCTACAAATTTATGATTAATTTTTTTATAATACAATTAGAAATATCCTCAAATTTTGTTTAAGTTTAATCATCTTTCAAATAATTTTAAGAACACACTTTTCCATATCAATTTAACGCATTTAATATTTGATTTTTAAGCTCTCTTTCAAGAGTCAAATCTTGGTTGATAAAATATTAAATCTTTTTTTTTTAATTGGACTAATCTTTATTGATAAAGGAAACCTCATGATTCCAACATAAAATTTCAATTAATAAGGAAAACAATTATTTTTAATATTATTTTGATAAGGAATTAAGGGTAGTTGATATGGTATTTATAAAAATATTTTTGCATTAAAAATAATATTAATAATCGATTTGGTAATTTATAATGCATTGAGCCATTGAGTTAATATATTATTCAAAACAAAAATATTAAAGACTGTCACACTCATTAGCAAACTTAAATCTCAAATTAATATTTTCTTTTCCGGAAGACAAATTTAAGGAAACATAATACAATAATTGCACTTTTTTCTTTAAATATAATTTTAACCAATACATTATTAACATTTTTCATTTAAAAACTCTAAATTAAACTTTGAATTTTTTTAAAATTCATATTAAAAAATTATAAATATTAAATTTTATATATTAAATATCATGCTTTAAAAATAATTATATAAAACAGCGGATTTTTTTTTAATTTAATTTTGGTAGTTTTAAAAGAAGGAAGCATGAGTTGGGAGCTCTGTCGGGATTCCGGAATTCCTCAGCCGACAAGGTCCAGGATTGTGGTTCAGAGTTGTCTTAAACTCGCTAATTGGGTCAACTAACTTAACCAACACTTCTGCCCATGGCTTCCCTCTTCTAACTTCCAATCTAAGTCCAAGATTTTCCACGCTCCTGAATCTAATTCCCCCAAATTCTACTCTTAACTTCTAGCTTTATTTCTAATGAAACGCGATTTTCAAAAGCGTGGCGGTCGCATCCTTCTGGAACCACCACCAGAAAGGCTACGAATTCAAGTTGCAAAACACGCCTCGCCTCTGAGCGTGGGTCAATAAAATCAACAGTGATTCCAGGACTCCGATCAGGCTCGTCCAGTAACTGCCGCCGCAAATGTAGAGATTGTCAGACACACTCCTTCCCACAGCCTCCGCACATGACTTATTTATATGTAAACTCAACCATGGTCCAACACAAACTAACCTCGGTCAAGTCTTAAAAAATGAAAATTTCAAGCCCTTAAACTTCTGCCACGTGGCAATTCCATTTGCCGTCTTTTTGATGATTCTCTTTTTTTACTGTTTCTAAAGTAATGACATCGAGTGGACGGTCATAGCCGTAGGATATAAAACGATGACGTCAAGGATTTAATTCTTAATCGGACGGTTGTCATATCCTTTGGCATCACATTCTTGTGTAGTTTGGTTGAGTCCATAACTCTAATTAACTTATTAATTATATTTTGGTACGTTTTCGGTATCAGCCAAATTATATATTTTTGTAGAAAGAAGGTTCGTTCGAGGATAACAAAAGAATCTGAAAATTTGAATATCAATTTTTTAAAGATAAATTATTAAGTATATTAAGATTAAATTTTTTTTAATTTTAAAATCGAAATTTAAAAAGTGATGAATATTTCTTAAGTTATATTTAAAAATAAAAAATAAAAAATAAAATAAAATGAGATATGTATTCTTTTATTAATTTTTTTATAGTTTACAAATTTTATAAACAGATATCAAATTATTTTTTATTTTTTATACATTAAAAATTACAATTCAAAAATATAAAAAAAATTATAAATACTAATGTTTAAACTATATATTTATTAAATATCATATTTTAAAAATAATTATATAAATCGATTAAATTGTATTTTAAACTCATGATTTTTTTGTTAAATGACTTCTCTTAAATATAGCTATATAAACCTAAGTTCTAGATTCATCCAAATTATATTTAATTGGTAATAAGTATAATTAAACATAAAGAGGTGGAAGAAAGTTGGCGTTGAATTTTGGATGTAATAATTGATGATGGTGTGCCCACTCTCACTCCATTCAAATTGCTTCATTTTCTATGCAAGTCATCTTCATAACCTAAAAAATTACTCAATATTTTGATATGATATAACAATAATAGTTTGATTAATCATTAGAATAAAAATATTTGATCAACAAATGATTGTGGGAACTAAATCACACGTCTAAGAAATATTTTGATTTGGTATGTTGTTCTTATCAAATTTAATAGTATATCACACTAAATATGTTCTATAAGTTAAAAATAATAGAATCTCAACTTATAATCTAATACCCATTTCCCTTAGTATTTCATAAAACTAACCACAATCTTGTTTGAACAATAACATTTAAATTTAATAGCATCAAAATAAATGCTTAATGATTGGCCCTTGATAAGAACTCTAAGGTTTGAATCTCTCATTCTCTAATTTAAACAAAAAAAAAAAACCTTTTAAATTTTAATTTTAATATAATTTCTTAAAATGAAAATAGAAGTATCATAAAATTTCTTTGGAAAAAAAAGTATCATTAGGACTTTAACTAATTATGTTTATGCATTGCATTCTTGGGCCACCATTCATTCATATTTCATATTATTAGTTGTCCAAAACTATACTAATCAATGAGATGTTCTTCAATTGGTCAGTACCCAAAGTGAAAGCAAGTTGGTGATGCATTATTGAGGTCATAATATATATTATTTTTAACGGAAGATGTAATAAAATAATAAAAAATAATTGTAAGTATTATAATTTAAATTTTAAATTATTAAATATTATTATTTAAAATATACACATTTATCATCCTTTCCTTTCTATAAATCTTATTTTATGATTTTTTAAAAATTTACACTTATAATTAAATATTATATTTATATACTTAATTAAGTAATTAATTATTATATAATTAAATAATTAATTAATAAATTATAATTTAATTAAACAAAAAAATTTACACACTAAAAATTAAACCTAAAATTTTAAATTTACAACATTTTTTCTACTAAATGAAGTCTCATCGGCGAAACTTTATATCATGAATTAAATACATCAATCTTGATATAGTTTATTTTATTATTCTTTGATATCAATTTCCATTTTCATAAAAAAATTGTCCACCGACACCTGACGTAAGAGAAGGACAGATGTCAGTAAAACAACAAATGATAGCAGCACGTGTCAGGATACTAGTGGTTACAGGCTTCTGTAAATTTGTTTTTAGTCAAAGGAAGCTGAGTACAGTGGAGAGGGACGTAAAAATTAAAAATAAACAAAGTGAGGTTAAAACAGAGGGTTAATCATGATTAATGCAGTGATTAAGAGAGTTAATTAAGGAGCTGAACTGCTATATAAAGTGCTGGGAGCTGGTGACAAGGGCCAACAAGAGTGAGGCTGAGAGTTATTCACACCAAAAAACTTGAGAGAAAAACATAGAGTTTCTTGTGAGATCTAAACACGTTGAGCGATTCTGGTTCTTATTCTTTAGAAATTCTTCCCCATTTTTCTGTTGCACCCCGCTTCTCTGAATCCCTTTCTGTTAATCATCTGTCTTTTGAAAAAAAAAATCTAATTTTTGGGTTTGTTTTTCAATTCTTAACAATGGTTAGAAAGCAAACTTAGACAAAGGATTTCTTTAAAAGCCAGGTGTTTTCAGAATCGAGATCCAGTTTTTTTTTACAAGTTCCCATATTTTCTATTTCCAAGCTAAATTTTAGATTTTTTTCTCTTTTTTTTTTCTGTAGATAAAATCAGCTTAGAGGGTGATTTTTGGTCCCTCAAAGTTTGATATTTTAGGCTATATTGGATTTCAAGGGGTTCTGTATTTAAAAAAAAAAACCCTCCTTAATCCTTTCTGGGTTTTAAAATCTGTTCTTAAGTTTTGTTAAGAAGCAGGTTTCTTTTTGTTTTTAATTTTGGTCTGTAATTTTTACAAGTTTCAATCTATTTTTGTTTTTAGAGAGATGGCAGCTGCAATGGATTTATATAGTAGCAGAGCTGTTCAATCTGATCTGTATGGGGGAGAGTTGATGGAAGCACTTGAACCTTTTATGAAAAGTGTTTCCGCCTCTTCTTCTTCTTCTTCTTCTCCTTCCTGCTCTTCTTTTTCTTCTCCTTGTCTTCCTTCTACTTCTTACTTTTCTTTCTCTTCTCCCCAAACACAACCCGGTTTTTACCCAGATGGTTGTGGTTACTCCACAACAATTGACCCATTTTCAGGTCTCCAACAGCAACAATATCCTCAACCTTGTTCAACAATTGGGCTAAACAGCTTAACCCAAGCTCAGATCCACCAGATCCAGGCACAATTCCACCTCCAAAACAATCAACCTAGCTACCTTTACCAAAAGCCCCATCTCAACAACAACAACAGTAACAGCAATCATATGCTCAGCTTTCTTAGCCCCAAACCCATCCCAATGAAACAGATGGGTTCACCATCAAAACCCACCAAGCTTTACAGAGGAGTTAGGCAACGTCACTGGGGAAAATGGGTCGCTGAGATCCGGCTACCTAGAAACCGGACACGTCTTTGGTTAGGCACCTTTGACACAGCTGAGGAAGCAGCCTTGGCTTATGACAAAGCAGCCTATAAACTTAGAGGTGACTTTGCGAGACTCAACTTCCCTAACCTTCGCCATCAAGGTTCCCACATCGGAGGCGATTTTGGTGAATACAAGCCTTTACATTCCTCTGTCGACGCTAAGCTTCAAGCCATTTGTGAAAGCATGGAACAAAATCAAAAGCAAGGAAACAAGAAAAAATCGTCAAAGGAGACAGCTGAGAACAAAAGCAAGAACAATAAAGACCAAGTAGCAGTGCCTGAACCTGAGGAAAAGACGGTGAAGGTGGAGAACTCCTCCTCATCTTTGTCTCCGGTTCTATCGGAGAGTGAGGGGTCAACAGAATCTTCACCTTTATCAGGTCTTAAATTCTCGGATTTCATCGAACAGCCATGGCCTGAAGTTGGTTCTTCCGAAACTTTTATGTTGTCGAAATACCCATCTTATGAGATTGATTGGGATTCTATTCTAAAAGCCTGAGAAAAAAAAAACATTCATTTGTTGTAACAGTCCCTTTGTTGTTAGGGTTCTTATCTTTTCTGTAAGCTCACTGCAATGGAGTTTTTGGCATTGCAGCGGCAGGTTTTCTAAGTTATTACGAGTCTGTTTATGGGTAGGGTTCATAGCATTAATTGTGTAAGCCTTGTGTTTATAAGAATTTGAGATCTTCTCCATGGTTGGGTCAGCTCGTTTTTTCTTGCTGGACCAAGGGAGAAATTTGTTAGTGTCTGTAAAAGTTCATAGCATTTGTAATTTAATCTATTAATGTTATTAATGGTCATTTTATGTGTTCCTATCATCAAGGTTTTGCTTATTTTTATTTTTGAAATTCGTTAAAAACTTGTGATGAAACTTGTTGAATTATTGAAATTGTGTGGAAGTTTGTTCTAGCTAGATATCCATTTATTTGCTTGAAAATTGTGAAATCTAGTAGTTTTCAAGTCTACTTAATGCCAATCAAGTGGCTGCAAAGGGATGTTGGATAAATGTAAATGCACCAAACGACCACCAAAGGATCTACTGGACTTTAGATCCGTCAAGATAATTGTTGGCAACCAACAATCTTTATACGTAGATTTTTTCAAAAACATTTTTGCTGCTCCCACGAAACTGCTGTTTACGGAAAAGTTAACTGAACTGTGAATTTTGTGAATTTCAGGATTTTTTTTGTCTTGAGAAAATGGCTCTGAGGTCACGAGGTTGGCGCAAGGCGTTTTCTTGGCATCTTCATACCTGCTACTATTATAGTAAAATATATGAAGACAGAAGCGTTCGTATTACACTTTTTTTGTCTCTTGCTACTATATTTTACGAAAACCATGGTGAATCTTGCAGGAGACTTGTACCTTGGAGTAAAGTAAAATCTAATTAAAAACTTTGTTCAATGAATCTGCCTGCCTGGGCTGAGGGCTGAGTTCACAAATTCTTAAGATTTTGTCTTTTGCAAAGAAAAAACCGAATCTCAAATCCCTTCTCTATTTTCAAGGCATATTTTGTTTAAAAAGAAAAAAAAAAAAAGAGGCTTTACTTTGAAGTAAGGCGTTTCCCAACAGCTCCCTCATTTCTTTTGAATGCAATCCATTGTGGTTATGGAGGATGGTCCCTTGGGTTCACAATCATATATCTCACCACTCAACACTTTCTTAATTCTCTATATTCTTTTTGAATGATCAAATTATTATTATTGCAAGCAGGTTCGGTAAATACCTCAAACATAATCTTGATTTAAAATTTTAATCCTTTTTAACTCAAAAGCTTCAAGTTGGATTCACTATTGAGATGATTTTAGATTTGAATTGATCTTTTTTGTTCCCTCTCTTCTATGAGCAAATGATAACATAAGTAGCACATATACCTTGTTTCTCTTTATTCTTTGTTCTTTGTTTTTCACTATTTATTCATTCTTTTCGTAGTGTGAAAAAAGCTTAAGAGACATTGCGAATTGTCAAAATGTGTGATCCATGCCTTTTGAAAAGCAACCCTTTTAAGGAACAAAACGGTGTGAATGAGAGAAAGCTTAGATACCTGGATACAGTATTGTAGGCAATGCGATCAGATTGTCTTGAATTAGATTTTCTAATTCGAGACATTTGAATAAATCTATAATTATTATTTTTATTTAATTTTAATTTAAAATATTAATATCTTAAAATAAATATAATTTATATGATGGGTAGAGCTCGGTCCTAGATTTTAAGGATGTTAACCAAGCCCGGTTTGGTCCATAGACACTTCTACATCATGGTAGTATAACTAATAAGTATTAGAATTATTATTTCATATAGAGTTGGTACACATTTTAAATTTCATAATCATTATTTATATGTCATTATACATTTTTATTTTTTTTAAATGTATCATCACAGGACACATGTCAATAACCCTCTAATCTCATTGTTGAAGTTTAAAATTTTTGACGGATGTTGCGTTAGATAAAATTTTATAAATAATAATGTAGATAGAGTAGTTAAAATCTTGCTAAAAGGAAAAAGAAAGGAAACCAACCTGGACCAAATCCTCTGCTGTGCTAAAAATGGGCAGAGTCATGAGCTCAGGTCTGGCCTACCCACTACACCTAAGGTAATAAGGCCCATCCCAATTCCTTGACCTAAATATTTAAAAAAGATGGAAGATTACGTACGAAAAATAAAGTGTTGCTTCAATTTCTTAATAATCAAACTCTGTGGCTTTGCAATTCCCTGTTACTAAACTAACCTCTGGATGAACCTCGTATCACGCATTATCACACAACTTACGGTTTGACATGGATTCCGCGAACTGAAAGTCGTTATTAGCAGTAATTGCTTTGATATGTGATGACAATAGACTCTGATCGTATGATCTCTTTGGAGAATAATTGATATTGGTTCCCTTATAAAAGAACATTGTTTCCATCATCGGCTTGTGTTCCCTAAATCAGTCGAATAAAACTTGCAATAAGGCATCTTCTCACAAAAGAACTATGAAATCAATCTAATTCCAACATAGAATGTGTCAAAACAAAATTTCAGTCTATGATTACAATGAAAGCTAATAACTGAACAGGGTAAGTATGTCGCTGTGACCTCTTTTACTTAGTTCTATTTCTTCCCCAAGCACCTGTTACTGGCTGATGAAACAACAGCAGCAATTTCATGCCTGCTCGATCAATCAACTAAATTTACCAAGTTCAATCTTCTTCTTGATTGCCTTTTGCCCATGATATATAAAAGAATCTAATATTCCTGAAACTGTGAAAACACCTGAATAGAAAAAATTGGAACAAATGATCAACTCCAATCCAATCATGTCATTATCAAGGGCATATCTGTAAATTAAAAGCTTCCATAAATCCATTCACAAAGCCATATTGTTGGAATTAATACTTTCTGTAATTAAATTCAGAGTAGAAAGTTGCTAGGATTAAAGATGATGGAAAACTTGGAAAGACAATCTGTTTTTGATCCCCAAAAAGAAATTCAGGCATAGTTTGTTTACTCAGTTATGGAGGATTGATTAAGTAGCTACCAAAATTTCTATATATGTGACCCTATAAAGAACATAAATATGAACTTCAATTTCATTTTTTAAGAAATTTTTAAGTTCAACGGATAAGGATTTGAACTCGTGACGTCATTTATGTGGGAGATATTGGGCTCTTGCCTCACATGAAGTTGATAAAATAAATAAGATCATTAAGTGGAGAAAACAAAATCTTACCATTAATTTGTCAAAGCAACAGGAGAACACAAAAATTAATTGATCTAAAATCAACATATCCAGTACGTCTAATATTCTTACTTTTAAATAGTGAGAGTAATTGGATTATGTGGAGGGCAAAGGATCGTTACCTCCAACTATAGCACAAACATTTGTTAGAAAGTGCAAGAATGAGACATGCTGCTGAGTGAAAGTCACCTGCAATAAAGTTGAAAATAAGCTCAGAATATTGGCAGGAATCAAATGAAACAACTCTGAAAATCTGTCCAGACTTGGGCTAACATTTATTACACCTCTTTAAGAGATACTGCTTGACCCCTTAGACTCCCTCAATACAAATAAAAATAAAAAACTAAATAGAACCTTGAAAGTGATGCGGCATCTCTAAGACAGCAATATGTTTATAGCAGAAATAGAACTGCATAAAAACAAAAGCAGAGGAGAAACCAACCTTGATAGGAGACAGGTCATAAAAGAAGAAAACTCCTGGGAGGGACTGAAGACGGCCTATTTCCGCACCCTTAAAATGCTCTGTCACAGAAAACTGCCGAAAGCAATCTCCCATTCATTAATCATTTTGACTAAATGAAAGAAGAGGTCAAATAAAAACCCTTTGCAAGTGCTAGCCACACCTGATTTGACTGGATGGTATGTCCACTCACGTCTGTGTACATGGTAGGTACAACCTACAAGATAGAAAGTATATTGAAAATCCCTCAAAAAGGCCCTTTTCTTATTTAAAGCTCAATTAGAAACATGATAAGTTACATGCATCAGAGACAAATGAAAATTCCATGCCTGTGAATATGACAATATGCCATATCCACTGAGGAAGTTACAACATTAGTAAGAATCCCTTCTACTTAGTCTTCTTGAATGTGTCATTCTCTCTTGCTTTTAAAGAGAAGATGGAAACATGGTGTTTTAGTTCATATTTGCAAAAAAAATTCAACCATGGTAAACATATTCTCAGTAGGGTCTCATTTTTATCTTTATTTATCGATTTGCTAATGTCATTAGCATTTGGAAATGGAATTGTTTCTTCAATATATTCGACAATATGCACTAAGTTTAAAACGATTAAGTTAATTGGGCAGACTTTTAACGCAATGTGCCATTTATGTTCCCATTTTGACTTTTCAATGAGGGGCAGTTACACTGACTTTATCAATATTATCAAAGTTTTTATTGATATTAAATTTTTTAACTTTTGATATGATCTCAAAACATTTGTGTGTGTAGCATTAGGAAATGTCACATGCTGCATATACTAATAGGCTAATGGAACCAAAAAGGGTACCGAAAGGCAAATAGCCTAGATCCAGGAGTAATGTACTGGCTTCGATTACTAGATAGATGTGATAACTGATAGGCATTGGAGAATATGATAATAAAGAACTAAAGATGCATTCATGCAGAAAACTAACCTTGATAAAGTACTGGTACATCCCACTTGGTTGTTCTTGTGTCCATTGAACACTGAAATTTAGAAGAAAAATATAAGAAAAATAATACAACATCCAGCTGTTTTACATAGCCAAGGTAAAACGATTAAGCAGAAGTTAGCAAGTACCCATCAAGAGGATTCACCACACCAGGGAAGTAGTCTCCAAAAGCTAATCTATTTATCTTGTGACTTATCTGTATCAAATATTCATGAAGTATGATTAGATTAGATAACCATTTTCGGATAAGAGATGCTAACATGCACAAAGAATGGAAACAAAAGAGCTACAACTTACATTAAAACTGTCTTTTTGAAATGCTAGCAAGTCATGTACATGAACATTTGATTGCTGAAAGCTTTTCCCAGGTGCAAAATGAAAATTCCCTGCGACCTTATTAACTTCTAAAAAGCCATATATATTACACCCCTCGCCTTCTTCATCCTTAATCTTCTGAAGAAAGCCCTCTCTCTTGCACTGAACAACAGAAACAGCAGAAACAAGAAAGCATAAACCGGGGTCAAATTAAGTCAAGTAGATCAACTGGAAATGGGGAGGTGGCAGACAAAATCTTTAGATAGGCTTGACCAGAAAGCAATAAACTAATACACTTAGCAAGCATAAACTGGTGCTCACTGGGATATTGATTTTTGCATGGATAAACTATCAACAACTAAAAGTTTCAATTATTACACAACAAGCAAATCGGTGGTAGTTGTCCTTATATGAGATAAAAAATAAAGATTTATCTTAAGATTATTGAAAAACAAAAGGAATCAAGCTTTTAATGCACCAAGAAGTGGGCATGGCAAAGTCCCATGTTGATTACGTAATTATTAGACAAATAACTATTCCCCTTGCCATCTTGGCAGTCCAAACAGAATCTCTGGGGGAGTTGGATCAGGAATTGGGTCAATACTGAATAGGCATTGTTTGGAGGGAAAAATAGGTTTCAATGTACACTAAGTAGCTTGTGGAAATGATGACGTGCAAGCATGACTAGCAATATCAAAGATAATAAAGGCCAAAACGAAGTTTTCTATCCCAGCACATCTATGTGTCTCAATCCAATTGAAGTTAAAAAATCAGTTAGAGTTTAAGCTCTTCTGCAGACAGACCTGGTCAATCAAATCCGGATTTGACAAAGCCCAACCTTTCTTTCTGTATGCTTCACGAACATCCTCACAGGAGTTGCAACAATCATCATCAGCCTGCAAGATGGAAAGGGAAAAGAATATTTAGGTAGGGAAAAATAAATCATACCAGGAGTAAAAAAGTATTATTCTTATTACTGGACTGTTTTCAATGATTATTCATTACCTAAATACTGACCACATCAACTGCCTTATCAAGTCCAGAATAAAACAAAACCAAAACAAGAGAGGAAATAGACAAACGAACAAAAAAGAGAACAATGACGAATAAATGCTACTAAATCAAGTTTTTTATATTATATTTAGGCAATTTATGACAAAACGACACTTCTATTAGGATTAAGAGGATAAGGTTCAAAGTCAAAGATCCTTCATATTCAAGACAAACATGCACCCAGTGGATTGACTTATATCACAATGAACTAGTAGACAGAAACCAGATAGACGAAGCATACCACTTCTGCACCATAACATGAACCACAATAAGTCTCATTGTGCTCAAGCCTGCCACCATGCCTCTGTAAAGGCTTTTCAATCTGTGTGAAGCAAAACAACTATAAGCAGAAAGAAAGGGAAAGACAAAAACAAAGCTGAATGTGTGGTTCCTCAGATCCTTCAAGTTAAGGGAAACAATGCAACTGAGAAATCAACTTCAAGCAATACTGCCATATACCTTGGGAGCACCAATTCCATCTGATCTTGCTTCTATAACATTGCCATGTGCATCTAACCTTTTCTTGATTATGTCATGTTTCTGCAAGTTAGATAAAAATAAGTTTCATTATGACTTCTAAAGCAACAGCTGGACAATTTTAGCAGCATGTGAAGAAAAGAGTAAGTTCTGTGTGCATGCACATGCATGGCTATAAAGTTCTGTCTATATTGCATAGGCAAGCTCATCTATGTGCCCATTAAGAGAGAGAGAGAGAGAGAGAGATTTGATTAGAAAATTCCTTTCATGACAGTTAATACAGAAGAAAAAGTCATCAATATAGAATAAAAAGGTATGAGTCCTTGCAATACATACAACATCAAGGTGTTGCTCTCCACTTATGTCCATTGCATCAAGGCTGAGTATTGAGCATGCAAGAGCAGGAAACGTGACATCAAACTGCACTTTCAAATCCAAAAGGAACATTAAGAAATTAGAGGGGATGATTCCAAAAGACTCACATTGGTACTATGAATAAAACAGAAAAGAACCAGTAAAAAAAATGTAATAATATAGTTATAATCATTGTGATAATGCAGAATATTCTAATTTAAAATATATAAAAACAATTTATAAGTAAAACATGAAAAATGGCCACAGAAGAATCTTCAGGAAATCTTGCAAGGGTGAGAAGAATCTTCAGAAAATTTTATGTGAAATTTAAGGCCATGGGGAAAAAGCTGGAAGGGAATTCTTCAAGTTAAAGTAGAATTAGCAGATGAGATTACATTGATGCGTAGTGTTTCCCCTCTTGAAGTGTCAACTACAAGCTTTGTTTCAGTCACAGCATGCAGATATAATCCTGCAACCAAGATCGCAAAAAGGAAAATGTTGATGGAAAAAGATAACCTAACTTATATCATGAACAAGACCAAAAGCTCCCCCTCCCCCCAATACACACACACACAAATAAAAAATAAAAAGTTGAATGAGTTAGCAAAACTGAAAAAAGCTGGTAAAGCTAAAAGAGAGCACAGAGAGACCAGTTTATTGTGAAAGTATTCAAGACAGTACATATACAAGAATATCATCCATCAATAATGATCTTAATAACCATATTCAATGAAACTTGACAGTAGCATAAGCATCATGATTGAGAAATGAAGGTGCAAGTGATCATAGACAAATATAACGTTCCTTGAATGAAGTCCAGAACATACCAAAATTTGAAAATTTCTCATTTGTTATCATTAAAATGCCTCATTTATGGTAAGGCTTTACTTGACATGTCTGCAAATGCAAACTATTAGCCATAGAAAAGAGCCAGCAAAGTGTATTCCACTGAAATCACATAGAATGTGGATGATAGGCACCTTCCTAGGCCGTAACATGTGATCATTCTTTCTGATCCAACCATTATCAAAAACATGATCAAGTGCAAAGGACTTCATAGATGGATTATCAGTTGTTCCATCTGCAAACAGGAAGCCATGTTTACCAACACTTCAACCATACTACTCCAACAAGAATACACTGAGCTACACATCTCTCCTTACTCATGAACAGCCACTGAATCATTGTTCCCCTTGGAAGTCAAATAAATTTTGCTAAAATAGATGCAAATGCATAAATGAAGTTCAGCTTGCATATGATTCTCAGCTGACTGCTATCATTGCGACGACGACATTCATTTCCAATCAAATCAATTGTCAAACAGTCATTCAAAACTAGCCTTTGAGAAAAAGCATTAACAATTTCTCAAGTTAAAATCACTAGTCAATTCGTCATTGTTAAGTTACTAATGCATCAATAAACTATAGTCACCATCTTGATTAAAGCTAATTCCTTTTAACCTAACATCTCAATCAAATCACAGTTCACACCAAAAAGCGCCATCATTTTCCAAAATTAAAATTCATATAACTCAATTCCAACACAAAAAGAGAAAGATGAATAAAAAATCAGATCCAAATAATTGAGCAGAGAAAAAGGGAAAAAAAGGAAACTCACGGAGCTCGGAGAAGAAGAGCAAGAACATAACAACGGAGGAGACGAGAGTGATAACGCCACCGGAGAGCGTACGGCTGTAGAAATCTTCATTTACTTTAGGGTACGCATCTAAATTCCTTAGCTTATTCATTATTCCGTCCATCAATTCTACCTTTTTTTTTTTCTTGGATCCCTGTTCTTCTTAGCCTAAAATTCAAATAAGAAATCTAAAAAAAAAAAAAATCTAATTCGCTGGAATAAACATAAACTTAAACACCTCGTTGAAATGTAGAAGAATTCTTTTTTTTTTTTTTGAGACGAGGAGTTTAAGATTTTTGGGGAAGGGAGGAGCACAGGCTCTCGCGCTTGCGTCTTTGTTTTTTCTTTTCTCTGTCTTCGAGATGATAAAGAAGGCGTAGCCAAATTATTTCCCCTGTATTTACGGTCAACGTATACGCTGTTGTATAAATCCACTGAATTTGCAGTTTATGGCTTTGTTTTTTTTTTTTTTACCAATGATTCTCTATTTCTATAGGGTTATAGGCCTCCAGCCCAATGCTCTATGGGGATATTGGGCTTTGTGGTTTTCTTTGTTTATTTTAAAAAAATTTTTTTACCTTGTACCAGGGATGTAGTTGGCCGAAAACATATGGAAAAAAAAAATTATTATTTCATTGCTAGTGGTAAAACAAATACTTTCACCTCTACAAAGTTCATAACAAGTGAAGATTTTTTTTTTTTTTTGTAATGGGCTAGTTAAGATTTTTGGTACAAAAAATATTACATGTTAAAATAAAAAAATTATGAATATTAAAACTTAAAATTTAAATTTACTGTGTCTTCAAACTGAATTATACTTTTGACTCTAAGACCGGTTAACATGGTATGGTAAAATACAAGAATGTTAGATTTTCTCTTGAACTTGCAAAGGCTTCCAAGAACATTGGACCAAAACATTTTTCATTACAGAAATTATTTTACTATATAGCCCAAGTAGCAGTTATCTCCAATTCTCTATGACCCTATGTCCAGCCCAAATTAACCTGAAAAGAGATGAAACCCAAAAAAAATGTTATATATCAATTTTAACTGAAAATAAATTGTTTTAGAGCATGATTAGATCACCGAAAGTATAAGGGTAGCAGATGCTTAGATACATATTCCATAATTATATGCAGATTGGAGAATTAAAAAGAGACCCAAAAATATGGAAAATAATCCTAAACCTCTCCTTCATATTTGGGTTTGGAATTTTCTACCAATTAGTAACATAAAGCCACTTGCTTTAAAAAAAATCACAAGTTCATTAGGCTAAATCATTAGTCGACGATAACAATAGAGTAGGGCCTCGTTGAGAGCAAGCCACGAAACCTCATTTTTGGAACCTATGAATTATTCAGTTAGGATTTTTTTTTTTTTTGGGTAAAATTATTCCCACTAAAATTTTCAAAGAATGTAAAAAAGTGAAACGAAATATTTGGAATTTATTCCCATTTTGAACATTGCATTTCACCTTTAACTTGATTCTTTTTTTAAAAAAATTTCCTTCCTTTGCTTTATTTGATTGATCAATTTTTTATTTTTTTCTTGCAAAATAAAATCACTTAAAAATTTTTTATTCTGAGCTCAAATTTTATTTTAATTAATTTATAAGATCATTTTTAATAAGTAATATTTAATAAATTTAAAATTTATTAAATAATTTCTTTATAAAAAACATCTACATTCTTATGATATTAAATCGTACCACCGTGATTTGATAGCTTGACAAATCTATATTGCTTTATTTTTCTTAAAAAATAAACATTTTTCGTGATCCTAGTAAGCTCCACGAAATCAAAGAATCTTTTTCCAGGGAAAGCTCCTTTTTTTTTTTATTATCCTTAAAAAACACGTGACATTTGACAGCTATCACAGTTCGACCTATCTGTCTAAATCACAAAAATGCGCGTGGAAATCTAATCAAATCATGGGGCATGCAAATTTTGTTGATTCAAATCAAATAATTATGTCCAATTGCCTCCTCTTCCTTCTATTGGACTTGGCAAGAATATAACGCATCCGTGTTCAATTGAGAAATGATTGTTTGGGCTCTTTCACTGTTTTTTTTTTCTCTAATCACCACTTTTCAACACGTTAATGTGAATCATTTTGACTTGGACTTGTAGCAAAGGTCTGCACAGTTTTCCAACATGGACCTTTTTTATTTGGAAATTTAGAAAATAATTTGCAAAGCTAATAATTGGGTTTTTTTTTTTTTTTTTTTCAATTTTTTCCCTAGTCTTAGGCTCCTAGCTTCTATTTTACTTCTCCAAATGAGACTCTCCTTTTTGGTAGTGAAAGTAACATAAAGAAGAAGGTGAAAACAACAAATTTTATTGATGCAATAACTATTGAAATAACTATTAAATTGAACTCGATTATTAGTTTTTCTCTATTTTAGGTTATATTCGAATAGATGATGAAATTAAAAATAGTAATAAAAATTATCATAATTATGATTGAAAAAAAATTATTATAAATGTAATTAAAAAATTTAATAAAAATTTTATATTAAATAAATCTCAATAAAATTGATATTTGAATATAATAAGCTAAATTACATTATATCAAAATTACGATGGAATCCAAACTTAATCTTAATATTTTGAGAATAAATGTTTTATTTGAAAAATGATAAACCCTTCCTATAAATTACAATTCAAACTTTTATTATAAAAATGAAGGATCTTTGCCCTTCAACAAACCTTTTTACATGAAAAAAATAATATGTTATAAAAGGATTATTTTTATCGCTTAATTTTTCAAATAGATTCTATTTCATGAAGTTTGGAGTTTGATTATTCTTATAAATGGAAGAGGTATGGAACTTGGATGATTGGAAAGGTTTCTCTACCCTTGGCCTTGAGCAAAGGGGTCTTAAGAGGACCGAGAGCAAAGTTAGCTGCCCTTACCTTTTGCATTGTATAAGTGGAGCATTATTTTTTTTTTATTTTTTCTTTTCCCTATAGGAAACCCCACTTGTTATCTAGAAAAGGAGAAAACCAATATTGTGTTGAACTTTTTGTGGTATGGTGAGACCATTCTATGGGCGGTATTGTGAATGTGATGCTTGCCCAACCCTGACTTCTCTTTTTGTTTAATCAATTCCATTTCCATTCAATATGTCACAACCAGTAACAACAATGTTACAGTAGTGTTACCTTATATATGTTAAATATTGAATTTTTTATTATTTTATATTCAAGTTAAAATTTTTTATTTATAATTAATTAATTTTAAGTTATACGCTTGATATGATATTAGAGTTCGATTCTATTTCATTATTTTTGCATTCTTTTTAAGTTTATTATGTGATAGATTTTTTTTTATTTTTATCTACACATGATAAAAATTTATTAAAATAATATTATTATATATATTAAATATTAAAAAATTTGTAATTTTATATTTAAATTAAAAAAATTTTATTTATAATTAATTTAATTTTAATTGAATGCTTAAAAAAATAAGGACTTAAACCTTCTCTAAACTAGGGGTGAGTAAATGGTCAGTTCGGTTTGAAAAAATCAATAACCGACTTAATCGATTTTTATTTAACAAATAATCGAACCGATCGAATATTATTAACTAACCGATCATAATCAAATTGACCAAAATCGGTTTGGTTTGATCGGTTTGGTTAAATAACCGATTTTTTTAATTATTTTTTTTTTCTTATTATTAATAATTATTTAACCACAAATTCAATTCAATAAAATTTAAACTCTAGTATCATTCAAACTAAATTACTAAAGAATTTAATAATTTCAACAATATTTTACAAAAAAATAAAAATAAAAATATTTATCTCAATTTTTTTTATTTTTAATTATTAGAAAATCGATTAATTTGGTTTGTGCGGTTATCAATTTTAAAAATAGAAAATCGATCGAATTAATCAATTTAATTAATTTAAAAAATTGATTATAATTAAAATCGAATAAATCAAACGATTCAATCGAATTCACTCGATTTCGATCGATCTAATCGGTTCAAACCGACTTTTGTTGACCCCTACTCTAAACCACATGAATCTTTCTTCACTAGATTAAGTTCTTGACTCTTGGCCGGAGTCTTAATTCCAATGCAAAACTTTGGACAGGTTTGAATGATCTGTTTTTGCTTTGTTATTGCTATCATACAGTAAAAAGGCTGCTCCAAGACTTCATCCACTTTTTCAAATAGATTCTGTTTCATGTTCCCAATTAACCGATGTGCATACCCTCAGGAAATCTATATTCAAGTATCAATGAGTAGGCAAGATTACATGTCTTGCTGTCCTCATGATGATGTTATTGATGATCTAGAAACCTAAGATTATAGGGAATTAAACATTATCAAATCAAGATGCTATGATTACTTCTGTTTATCGGTCAGCTCGGTAGAATTTTTTGCCCAAAGATCGGTTCCATTTGTCAGGCCTTTAAAGGCTCTAAATTTTTTTAAATATACTAAATATATTTTTAATATTTTATAATTAATTTAAATAAAAATTTCTTATTAATATTTTATTTTTTCAAACCACAATAAATCTTTGTTCAAGGCCAAATTTGCATCAAACAGCAAATATCTGACCTTGAACAGGTCTAGCTTTGATAATGGCAAATCAATTCTTCTTTGGAACATCATTAAGTCTTTGGTGCAATGAGCACTAAAATAAAAAGCTTTGAGAGCAAAAGAAAATTTGGGAAATTAAAAAGATGTAGAGAAGAAGAGTGGAATCAGTGGGTTACTTTTGCCAAAAACATTCTCAAGATAGCATAAATATATAGCAATAATTATGTTTTGAGAGTGATCCGATTCATCCAAGTACAATAATCTTGATTTTTTAAAATTTAAAACTATGTGAAAGTGAGCTACACCATCATTTTATAACAAAGAAAAAGAAGAATTAACTAAGCTAATCATTAACCTTAAGTTGGCATAAAGAGCCACCACAATTTATACTTCATATCTTTTCATAAGTTTAATCTTTGTTGATTCTCTCATTAGAATCTAGAGGGAATTTTTTTTAATCTTTTTGGACTATGATTAGAAGCTGAATATAGAATCATTATTTTTGAAATTGATTTTAGTTTCATTGAACTTACAACTCATAGATAGAGAAAAATCTTCTTTGCGTACCACACAATGTTCTTAGACAGCTTAGTCTAGCCCTCTAGGAAAAAAAGAAACAGAATATTAATTGGGGCCATGAAAATGATTTTGAATCTGCATGCCCTTCTAACATTCTTTTAATCTATTTCGAGTAGAATTTAAGAAAAAAATGTCCATGGTTAAAAACTTTTGTCTTTTTCTTTTTGGATAATAAAAAATATAAGATGGAGCATATTGTTTTTATACTCTATAAGTTTTCCGGAGAATAAAAGATCAATTCTAATGGAGTGGTAATTGTCATTTCTTAAATTTTAAACCTTTTTTTTTTTTAGGTT